GCAAGGGGGGTTGCGATTTCTGCTTGCTGATTATCAGAATTTTCTGCTTTCAACTGTACAAAGTGCTGCTTCTCATATGAGGTTTTTTGTCCAGAACTACGTCTTGAGTGTGTAGAGTCTCTATAAGCATGTCTTTGTTGTTTGGTAAACGTTTTGGTTTGTCTGGGAGTAAACAATGGGAAGGGGTGCTACCCAGCTGTTTGTCTCATCTTGGTACATTTCATTTTTGCCATATTGTGTGAAACTGCCACATCTTGTTCCTTGCGTTTTGTGAGGTGCCAACCTCTCATATCTCGTTTTTGATGAAATGTGTATTTTCGAGATTTGTTCGTGTTGTTTTTCTTGGTAAGTTTCTGCACAGTTTCGCGTCTCAAAACATAACTTGATTTTAGTTTCTCTCTTTAATTTGCAATAAATTAGTACTAGAATTTATTATACTGCTATTCCAGAATATATAACTACAATTGTGTTATCTAATATTTCGGGTGTTCAATTTTTTTATTATGTTCAGATGAATTATGTTTAAAAAAAAACGACTTTGAAGTCGCACCTTTTAACAAACTCTAGGGCGAGCCAAAATGGCGGCGATGACATCTCACAGAAGCATCATTTCAAACTAATTGTGTTTTTTTTTATTCTTGAAGTCAACTCTTTTCAAACACAACACGTTAGACCATAGATTGTAAATATACATTTTAACATTAGATCTCACCATTCATTGTAAGCACTTAAGAGTGTTATGTATTTCTTTGTCCACATGATGGCGTAGTGGAGCATGATTCACCTCGAGCCTTCGACTCATGGGCCGAGTAATAGGCTGCGATCCCTCAAGGCTTCATGGGGCTTCATATTGCCATCACTAGCTAAAAGGTTAAAAGAGTTGCACACTATTATGTACAAAACTCATGAAAATATGTTTATACCTTTTTCAGATGACAGTGAAACCTCCTACAGATTCAGCCCAGACTGCTGTCTGCTGCTGTGAGATGCCCTTCTCCTACGTCATCGCCGCCATTTTGGCCCCCCCTAGCGTTTCTATGCGGAAGTGAAAAGGTGCCACTTCAAAGCAGTTTTTTTAACATAATTCATCTGAACATGTCAAAATGAACACCCGAAATATTATAAACACATATTGTAGTTATATATTCTGGATAGATTATTATTTAAATAATAATGTGATTTATCTTTTCCTTCAAAAGCACAACAATTTCTGATTTTGCAATGGAAATTTATTGAATAAAGTTTAATATAAAAAAATATAAAAAACGTTTATATAAAAAGGAAATTTTGACACCACCGAACATAACTGACTTGGCCATGACAGAACTCATCACAAAAGCACTAGTACCTCCCTGATGTAGTCTGTCCTTGTGTCCAGGGCTGGACTGGCCATCGGGCGTACCGGGCAATGCCAGAAGGGCCGATGCCCATATTTGGGCCGGTCTGTTTGCCTCATACAAAAAAGATGTTTGTGAAAAGTGTAAATCCGTTGTGAACTGTTCGAGGGGGCGCGCGTGTCCGCGGGGCACCTGCTGTATGTACTCGAACAGGATTCCACCACCTAAGCGGCTGCAGTGTTCCGGCATCCAGCGGCTCTGAGCTGGACGCGGGAACCGCTCACCGGGAGCCGCTCACAACACAACACGGTGAGCGCCTAGCCGCAACGTGACCATATACCCAAGACCATAAACGTGCACAGGACCATGCGTGTCTTTGCGTAATTTGTGCACCCAATAAATACACCGCTGCAGTAAACAGTCCGCGTCTCCCCTCTCCTCTCGAAGTGCGACTAAATTAAAGCTCGGGTGCCTAAATTTTCCATTGCATTAAAAGTTCATGTTTGAGCCCAAAAGTAAAATGTTGTGAAAAAATTAAACAGATTTAGAGCCAGCCAATGGCTGACATTATGCATTTCAGACTTTTTTGACCAATTCTCATCCCTGTAACAAACAACAGTGTTGTCTGTGTCCACCTCCCTCACTCTGAGACATGTTTATTACTCTCTTGTAATGTAGACTATTGCAATTTATTTTTTTGTTGAAACTGCAGACATCCTGATCCTCTACAGTATGCTTGCACATACTGTATAAACCAGGGGTCGGCAACCTTTAGTGCTCCTCCAGTGGCTCCTGAAAATGGAGTGGGAGGGCTATATTTTATTCCTAGTTTGAATATGGTTTCTGTAGGAGGAAAAACATTCCTAACGTATTTCAATGCTGTAAAAATGTGTATAAGTAATATTCAATTTCAACATTTCTGTCAACGTAGTGAGTCATATCCTGTGGCGCGGCCCCGCGCCAGGCGGCCGCTGCTGTAAACAAACCGGCGTGTGCGCACGGATCCCAAAGATAAAAAGAGAACGAGTTGATAATAAGACTGGACTAAGAACAAGACTGAACATTTGCTTTCAGTCAATGAGGAAGGACAAAGAATCACTAAATACCGTTCACAGGGATTACGTGAAGGATTCTTTCATACAAAATCCGGAGCACCTTTTTCAGACTTCAAAAACCTCCGCAAAGACTGTGAAAGAAAAGGCCATTAAGGACATTCAGCTCCAGCAAACTTCAGCCTGTGACGTAATCGATATGAGCGGACAGTGCAGGTGTGTGACCTTTGAGCCAAAAAGCAGATTTATTTACTGTATTTCTACAGTTGCATGAAGGCAAAAAAATTGAAGTCAAAGTTAAAGCAGAGTCATCACGTGGTGCGTCATTCTCTCCAGGACACGCTGCAGTGAAAACACACATTTGATAATCATGAATGCTTATTATGTATTTGTAGCCTTTACTTGGTCATTTAGATAATAGGCTAATGTAGCTAATGTAGCTACATTGTGTAACCTTCATATAAGCTTTATACAAGGCTGTTATTTTTTTGCGGCTCCAGACAGATGTTTTTAGTTTTTTTTGTCAAATATGGCTCTTTGAACCTTTTGAGTTGCCGATCCCTGGTATAAACAAACTGTAAAAAACGTGACAAAAACATGCCTGGGCCGGTAAGAAGGAAAAAATGCCCGGGCCGTTTTTTTGTCCCAGTCCAGCCCTGGTTGTGTCCAAGAGTATATGTCAGAACCCCTGAAATCTCACAACATCTGTAAATGATGCCAGGGAGCAAGTGACAAGGAGCAGTAAACTGATCACTGGAACATTCTTTTTTTTTTTTTTTCATATAATCTGAAACTTTTATTCTGTTACAAAGAAAAAATGCGTAAGCCCTTAGTTGTACAGAAATTATTCAAACAAATTATTCATACAAATTATTTCTACCCCGGGGAAGATAAGGGGTCTTCCCCGGGAGGAGGCCCCGGGGAAGACCCAGGACACGCTGGAGGGACTATGTCTCTCAGCTGGACTGGGAGCGCCTTGGGGTCCCCCCGGACGAGCTGGAGGAGGTGTGTGTGGATAGGGAAGTCTGGGCGTCTCTGCTTAGACTGCTGCCCCCGCGACCCGGCAATGGATGAAGCGGAAGAAGATGGATGGATGGATGGATGGAAGTTTGATAAGCACCAAACGTGAATCAATTGTTCAACTCTTGGATCTAGGTCAGGTGAAAGTGAAAAACATGAAATGCGGCATTAGCGCCCCCTAAAGAATGATCTGGAGAATTACATATACACTTTGCCAAAACAGCATTGGCCAATATGCCAACAGGGCTCAAATTTGCACCACATACTGTAAACATGAGTAGCATCAAAAGTTAGCTGCAACATTTGAATCAATTAACAGTTTGTGTGCAGCATTCTCGCATGTTGGGGTTATTTTGAGATGTAGGATATTTCCAATGTCATTCAATGGAGACACACACTCACTAATCAAATGCATTGCAATGTTTACAATAGGAGGATCTTGGAGTGACGTCGTTGTTTATAGTTTTTCCGCGCCGGTCACGTGACTGGGTGGCAAAACAGCATAGAAAGCTACCTGGATGCTAAAGAGTTAGCTATTTTTAGAGGTTTGGAGAGAGGTTTTACTAAATCAAATGGTTCATTCTTGTTGTGTGGTCGGTTGTACGGCCCGCTGGGGCCAGATCAAGTTTTTTTTTTCTAATTCCTTCGGAAAAGAACAGCAAAAAACAGCCGCGGTAAAGTAGTCTGCACATTAAAATTGTGTTGCGTCCTTATGCTGTTACCTATGGTAAACACAGAAAAGGAAGCCGGGGGGCAGGAGGGGATAAAAATTCATACAAATTGTAAGTTGTGCAACTACTTTCACTGCACACTTGTTCACTGTGATGATGAAATTTAAACATTGCAGTTTGGTTGCTCATCCCGGCCGGCTCCTTTTCCACGTTTGCCGTAAGTAGCAGCATAAAGGAGCAACCCGCTTTACCGCGACAACAAAAATCCGGGCCACTCTACAGCAGTGAAAAATGCGAGAAATGGTTTTTCACGACAGACCCTTCTTACGTGAAGGGTCCCAAGTTTTCTATGAAGTAAGAATATATGTCTACCAGCAGATTGGTGCTCTCGTCAGCCCTGGTCTCATATGGGGTTTGGATTTGTTCAGTTCGGTCTCATATACTTATTTTTAGCTTGTCTTTATATCTCCTCTGATCTTCTTGCGTTAAAGTGCTTATATACTTTACTTACTTATTACTTATTACTGTACTGTATGAGCCTTTCGCTCATTGAGTCTTTTAAAAGTACTCATCGTATCCGTGCTTCAGTATGTGCTCTGTCTTCTTGCCACTCAGCGAGTGGCGCATGCCGACGTAAACAAAGATCCTCCTATACACAGTGTTTCCACCATTAGGACTGTATGCAGATGGTGCGAAAGGGCCCCCTCCTTTGTGTGGCGCGTTGCACGATGTTGCGTTGCGCAAAGCAGCGTTGCGGTGAGGGCCGTTCAACGCTGCTTGCGGCTTTCATTATAATTCTTTCCCTCACCTCCCTATGGTTCTACTCCCACTCATCCATTATTTGGCCAATCCCCCTACCACTCCTCTTTCTCACCCCATCACTGCCTTTCTGCTTTGCACAGGAGAATGAGCTCACAAGAATGGCACAGAAAGAGTTACAAGAAGAGAAAAACATGTTGGCCGACACTGTTGAAGACTTGAGAAAAACTGTGGAACAATGTGGGACTGAATCAGAAAAGGTAAAGCAGTCAAGTTATTAATGTGTGTGCACGCTTACGTCACAAAAAGTCAATGTAAAAAGTGACTGTTGTTTGAAATACATGCTGGATGTGTGATATGTCACTAAAAATATATTTGCAACTAATTCATGACTGAATTGTGTGCTATTTCCAATGTAATCCTTTATGAGATGTTTGCATGCTGAACTTTTTCACCTTAGGCATTCTTGTGAATCGGTAACTAAAGCTTTTAAACATGTCATAGCATGTTTTGCAGAATGTAGCTAGTGGTCGTTATATGGCTTTCATGCCTTTTGTGGGGCCTTTGCATGTCAATGTGTTGACAGGACGAGAACAGTTTATCTGCGCTGCAAGCAAAGAAAACTGTTCTTACTGTGGAAAACCAGCAACTTAAATGCAAGCCTACAGTAAGTTGGCCACTAATTCATCTTTTAACATATTGTGTAGCCAAGCATAAAGGCTAGAAAAACATGCTCTGTGTATTGAATGCACGTCGCTGCTGTTTTAAAGTTGTTGCTGCGTTCTTGTGGTCCTCAAGTGCTCAGGTTAATGAGGTGAGAATGCGGGTTTCCATGGAGATACTGTTTTACCACAAATGTTTCACACTATGGTATTATATTGATATTTCATCCGACCTGTTTTTCAACTCCAGATGTTTCTATTGCTCTACACTACAACATGATAAAAGATAAATCCTCCCTAAATATGACAAGTACTGTACAGAAATATTTATTGCCATAGTGTGGAATATTCTCAGGGGGGGAAACAGTTGCATATATTCACAAAACCTAATTCTGCAGTATGCAAAAGCTACTCTGATGTGGCTAAAACCCTCATAATGGTCTGTTTTTTGTTTGTTCTATTTTTTATTTTTTTAACACTGCCAATTTTGTTTCAAAGACCATCACAGCTTGACCTGATTTTTTGCATTACTTTCAACACACAAACTTATGACATAAATTGATACAAATAAGCAATTAAATAAATTGTATCATACTATATGTACAGCTTTTGAAGGCAGAACTTCTCTGAAAATGTTTTTTTTTTCCTGATTAATTGCAGGTTCAAAGTTATAGCCAATAGTTATGAGCCGTGCACAGCCAGTACAATATGTGAAGTACAGAACACTCAACGCAGTGCCCTGGAGCAATGCTTATTTCTCAATACAGGAAAAAGAGTGATGTTTTGGTTGTTGCCTTATCGAATTTATGGTCAACATTAATACTTGGGGCAACTAATGCAACTAATCATTAATGCCTTTTTTGTTTTAGGAACATAATTATGATCTTCAGGACAGCAATCAACCAGACAGCCTCACCTCAAACTCATCCTTCCACTCAACCCAGGACGAGCTGGAGCTGCCTGTGTCGCAAACAGACAAAGTGACTGAAGAGGAGGAACCTGAGAGGGGGAAAGCAAGGAGAAAAGAGGAGATACACTCGCTCCACCAGGCTTTTGAGAGTGTGCGGGTAAAACTAATAGAAACCAGAGAAGAGAGACGCTCCCTCCAGGTCCAACGCCAGCCCGAGTGCCTGCGGGAGTACAATGTGGAGGTGAGAGAGAAGGAACGTGAGGCTGAGCTCATGGACAGTCTGGCTGAGCTTCAGGCCAAACTTTCAGACACACAAGAGAGATTCCACCAGGCCCTGGAGGAGGTGGAGGAGCTGAGGGTGCAGATAGGATTAGGAGACAATAATGAGAGACAGGAACAACAGGCAAGAGCACTAATGCTTGAACATGAAGTTAAACAACTCAGAGCTCAGCTCTTGCAGTCGGAAAGCCAAAATAGGAACTTTCTCCTTCAAATTAAACATCTGGAGCAGGCTTTAAGGAGAGCTGAGGTAAAGCACAAGGAAAATGAACTCCAGAGCATTCAACATGAAGAGGCCCAAGAGGAGATAAAAATGCTTCAAGTACGTATCATCCTTACTTTTCTACTACTTAACACTAATACATTCTGTCAGACTTTAATTTTACACAACAAATGTGTCTTTGTCTTTTTTCAGGCGGCTCTAAGGGGAACAGTTTCAGTGGAAGCTGCTGCTAAAGACTTTAAAGACATGAAGGGGGAGTTGAGCGAAGTGATCTCTGGACTTCAGAGGCGCCTGCTGGAGCTCTCACACTCGTACAGTGACACAAAGAGCCAGCTTAGCGCTGCACAAAAAGAACTATCGGTAAGCAGTGCCTCTACCTCTCCAACTTCAGAACAGCAGCAGGAACAGTCTGAAGCCCTCAAACGAGTGGAGGAGATAAAAGCATGTCTTCTGGAGACAGAGAGCAAGTACTTTGCTGCTCAACAGGAGATCTCACAGCTCCAGCAGGAGGCTGAAAAACAGCTGGATAATTCAGTGACTCTCACAGACCACACACAGGTTGTGGCTGCTCTGGGAAATGCCATTAAAGATCTGGAGAAAGAACTGGAGTCGGTTAAAGAGCAGTTACAGCTGAAGACATCGCAACTGGATGCTCTTCAAAATGGGTGAGGAAAGAAACAAGCAAATCAAGTCGGGAATAATTTAATTTAAAACATGTAACATTTAATTTGCTTCTCATAGATTTTCCACCAATAAATCTTTAGATGACTCAGTGCTTCTTCTAGAACGTGACATGTTGAAAGACCAGCTGAAGGGTGAGGTGAGCCACCTCACAGAAATCCTCCAAGGGGCACTCCGGAAGCAGGATGAGATGGCCCTTGAGGCTGCAGATGCATGGCAGCAGGTACTGTATGACAGAAAATATGAAGACACTTAACTAGACAATAAATAATGATAAAGGCATATTTCATGTGAATCTTTAGGCTCGCAATTACCGTGCTGAAGGAGAGGCCCTGCAGGAGCTGATGATGTCGAGGGAAAAGGACAACCAGAGTCTCAGCAATCGACTGGCTGAGTCTCAGGACGCCGTTCATCAACTGAAGCAGCTGGTGGAAAACCATGTAGCCTCAGAGCGAGAGAAGAACAAACGGGTGAGTGCTACTGTAATTGGATCATGAGGGCTGGCACATGGCTGCGTAAGATATCACTGTCTCCTACAGATCGATGATCTATCCAGAGAGGTCTGTAAGCTGAAGGATGCCTTAAACAGCTTGTCACAGCTCTCGTACAACTCCAGCTCTCCCTCTAAAAGACAGCAACAAAACCAGCAGCAGGAGACAATGCAGCAGCAAATCAAACAGCTTCAGTATCAGCTGGCAGTAAGTATTTTTAATTTTTTTAAATGCAATTAATTAATACAAAAAATTAATTAATACAATGAATACAAAAAAGCAGTTCTAGTTTTCTTTGAACACCTTCTTTGAGCAGCTTCTAAGAGAGCGTGTGGGGATCCAAATAAATAATAATGAATAATAATTGACATGCATCACTGTTTTTCCAAAGGATTCAAAGAAGCAGCACCAAGAAATTGTTTCTGTTTACAGAATGCACCTGCTCTATGCTGCCCAGGTAATTTATTATACTGAAATGTAAAATGACTTACCATCTTACATACTCACCATTCAAATGCTTTATACTCTCCTTCACCAACTTGTGAAGTGATCAGGGAACAAGCTATTGCATCTGTGTCAATGATATAGATCTTGTCTGAGCCACGGGACCTGTGTGCGTGTGAACAAAGGCTCAATGACAAGTTTCAGACCAGTTCTGCTTGTGTGTTAACACACAAGCCTATCACTGCATGAGATACCTTTATGCTGACAATCTTTAAGTGAGTCTTTTGTACTGGTGTTATGAATTTGAATAACACCATTCATTTGAACATGAATTCCCAATGTAGGCTATTGTCCATTTTAAAGTCTTCAAAAACGTTATGCATAAATGTAGTTGTTGCATTTACCTATTGCACTGTAACCAGCGAATATCTTTGTACTAAAGGCCTCCTGATTTTGCTTTGATTACCAATTGCAAGATTCTGCTCTTGTTCTAACTAATTTAAGATCAAATTAAATGCTCTGGGCTCTATTACTTAAATACAGCCTGTCTACTATGTTTACAAGTGTTTCTTTTAATGTAAACAAATGTCCAACTTTGTTTTCTTTGTTAATCTGTGACTATTGTGCTTCTAGGGTCAGATGGATGAAGATGTCCAGAAAGCCTTGAAGCAGATTCTCATTATGTGTAAGATGCCGAGCCAAGTCAAGAAGGCCTGCTGAGACCGTGTTTCTCAAAGTGTTGTGGCCACCCATATTCATGGTCTGTTTGTGTTCAATCAAAGGCATATGGGCCCCTGGACAATCTCAGCATGAGGAAATGATTACTGTCATACTTTTGCTGGCTTTGTCAATGTCACATTTGACCCATCTTCAGGTATCAAGTCATCAGTCATGTGATGAAGATACTTAAAGAAGCTATACTCAATCTGTTTTTTTGAGTTCATAAAAACGCTTATTACTACATACAAGTTGTATTATAATCGGTAATTTAGTTGAAAACTGGGGCTCATTGATTCAGCTTTTGTATGAATTCAGACCTTATAAAGTGCTGAGTAGAGGCTTAGCGGGCCGCTCACTCTCCTCCACTCACAGAACGAGGAGCGAACAGGCCGCGTCCTCTAGCTATAGCTAGCTTCCTCTAGCTTCAAAATTCGAAAGAAAAAATATATATATACAGCCCCCTTGAACCTTTCAACATTTCGCCACATTTCAGGTTTCAAACATAAAGATATAAAAATTTTTTTTTTTTTCATGAATCAACAACAAGTGGGACACAATCGTGAAGTGGAACAACATTTATTGGATAATTTAAACTTTTTTAACAAATAAAAAACTGAAAAGTGGGGCGTGCAATATTATTCGGCCCCTTTACTTTCAGTGCAGCAAACTCACTCCAGAAGTTCAGTGAGGATCTTTGAATGATCCAGTGTTGTCCTAAATGACTGATGATGATAAATAGAATGCACCTGTGTGTTATCAAGTCTCCGTATAAATGCACCTGCTCTTTGATAGTCTCAGGGTTCTGTTTAAAGCGCAGAGAGAACCATGAAGACAAAGGAACACACCAGGCAGGTCCGAGATACTGTTGTGGAGAAGTTGAAAGCCGGATTTGGATACAAAAAGATTTCCCAAGCTTTAAACATCTCAAGGAGCACTGTGCAAGCAATTATATTGAAATGGAAGGAGTACCAGACCACTGCAAATCTACCAAGACCCGGCCGTCCCTCCAAACTTTCATCTCAAACAAGGAGATGACTGATCAGAGATGCAGCCAAGAGGCCCAGGATCACTCTGGATGAACTGCAGATAACTACAGCTGAGGTGGGAGAGTCTGTCCATAGGACAACAATCAGTCGTGCACTGCACAAATCTGGCCTTTATGGAAGAGTGGCAAGAAGAAAGCCATTTCTCGTTTAAAGTTTGCCACAAGCCACCTAGGAGACACACCAAACATGTGGAAGAAGGTGCTCTGGTCAGATGAAACCAAAATCGAACTTTTTGGCCACAATGCTAAACGATATGTTTGGCGTAAAAGTAACACAGCTCATCACCCTGAACACACCATCCCCACTGTCAAACATGGTGGTGGCAGCATCATGGTTTGGGCCTGCTTTTCTTCAGCAGGGACAGGGAAGATGGCTAAAATTGATGGGAAGATGGATGGAGCCAAATACAGGACCATTCTGGAAGAAAACCTGTTGGAGTCTGCAAAAGACCTGAGACTGGAACGGAGATTTATCTTCCAACAGGACAATGATCCAAAACATAAAGCCAAATCTACAATGGAATGGTTCACAAATAGACGTATCCAGGTGTTAGAATGGCCAAGTCAAAGTCCAGACCTGAATCCAATCGAGAATCTGTGGAAAGAGCTGAAGACTGCTGTTCACAAACGCTCTCCATCCAACCTCACTGAGCTCGAGCTGTTTTGCAAGGAAGAATGAGCAAGAATTCTAGTCTCTCGATGTGCAAAACTGATAGACATACCCCAAGCGACTTGCAGCTGTAATTGCAGCAAAAGGTGGCGCTACAAAGTATTAGCGCAAGGGGGCCGAATAATATTGCACGCCCCACTATTCAGTTTTTTATTTGTTAAAAAAGTTTAAATTATCCAATAAATGTTGTTCCACTTCACGATTGTGTCCCACTTGTTGTTGATTCTTGACAAAAAAAATATTTTTTATATCTTTATGTTTGAAGCCTGAAATGTTGAAAGGTTCAAGGGGGCCGAATACTTTCGCAAGGCACTGTATATATTCGATTGGGGGGGGGTGGCAGTCAGAGTGGCACCCAGTTCACTTAGCACCAGCCCCTCACTGATCCTCCTGCAGATGGTGAGTCCACAGGAGTGGAGATCTTCAGGCAAAGTGGGTAAAGCCCAAGAACACAACGACAGCAGTCATCAGTGGGAGTCGTGAAGTAGGTCTTACGGTGGGCTCGAACCCACAAGCTTCAGGCCCAAAGGCCAATGCTCTACCAACTGAGCCATTGTCGCTGTTCAGACAGCCCTTAATATTCGAAATGTATTTAATCACTGCAAGGATTAAATGCAAAGGTTTCGCCGTGACGTGCTAGGTGGGTAACAGCTAAGCTAGCTAGTTCAAAAACTCTCTGGAACTACAAAGAATTCTGAACATCAGCGGTGAGTTACCCATTTATATACCGAACCTAAATTCATAATCAGATCCTCTTCAAATGTGTGTTAAAATGTTCGTTTCATATTAATGGTTACTTCCGGGTTCATCGCTTTTTGTCACATTAAAACAGTATTTTTATCTTGAAAACTTTAACAAATAATTCTGAAAACCTCTGCATGTGTGTTAAGAATGTACAGTACAGACCAAAAGTCCAAAAGTTTAGACACATTTTCTCAGTCAATAGTCATGAAAAGAAAGGACACTCATTGTCCTTTCTTTTCATGACTATTGACTGTAGAGTCACACCCAGGCTGTGTCAGGGCTGTCCAAGAAGGAGAGTGGTGGGGTGCTGGGCCAGATGACCAGGCCTCCACAGTCACCGGACCTGAACACCATCGAGATGGTTTTCGGGTGAATTGGACCACAGAGTGAAGGCGAAAGGGCCAACAAGTGCTGAGCATCCCTGGGAACTCCTTCAAGACTGTTGGAAGACATTTTCAGGTCACTACCTCTTGAAGCTCATCAAGAGAATGCCAAGAGTGTGCAAAGCAGTAATCAGAGCAAAAGGTGCTACTTGAAGAACTAAGAATATAAGACATTTTCAGTTGTTTCATGCTTTTTTTGTAGAACATACATAATTCCACATGAGTTAATTGATAGTTTTGAGGCCTTCAGTGTGAATCTACAATTTTCATAATCATGAAAATAAAAAACTCTTTGAATGAGAAGGTGTGTCCAAACTTTTGGTCTGTACTGTATTATGTATTCTCCGATTAACATTTAAAGGTATTGATTGATTGATTGGTATTTGTTTATTTAGCGTGGCTAGCTCCTCTAGCTTCTCTGCACAGACAGAAGTAGTGACGGGCGCTGAAAGCTCGTTGTACTTGCGGAGTATGTTAGTATTTTACGCACCTGAATTACAAACAGAGATTGCATTGCCAAAGGGCAGCGGTCATTATTGGTTTGAGAGTTCTGTTATCAAGAAAAAATGATCGGTAGAACGATTCGCACTATGTAGCAGGTATGTACTATGTAGCAGGTATGTAGCACATGTGTGTGTATATATATATATATATATATATATATATATATATATATATTAGTATTCTGTCTGACTGTTATCTTTGAATGTCTCCACCTAGTGGTTCATGTGTTTTTTGTGCATTGCTCTGTGGGTGTGGTGACTGTACACCCTTGGGTGCCTGCCCCACCCTATTTAAGAGGACTTCCTGGTTCTCTTTTCATGTTTGCTTGATGAAGGCATAACGCCGAGACGTGGCAATTTCAATAAATAATTTTTAATTTGCAAGTAAGACGGTGTGCGGGATTATTCTCTCTCTGACATTAGGCTATACAGGCCTCTCCTCCTACGCACCCGATCTGTAGGTATTGATGTGCGAATCCCTACTCCAGTCGGTAGAACGATTTGAAATTAGATTCATATCAATATAGTGTTCTACTGCTGCTGTGAGGAGCTGTATAATAAATTATAATTCAATATTCAAATATATTTTAATGTTTAAATTAATACATTTGGACGCGAAACTAGCGGTATTCTTTTACTTATATATTTTGTTAGCAGTTCGTTGCTTTTGTACCATTTCATCAGTGATTGGTGTACAGCTTACAAGAAGTTGCACTCATGTTAACGTATCAGATCGCAAATAAAACTAGATGGCTCCGTGGAATGAGAGAGTAGGGGAAATGAGACCTGTGAGCGAGTTGGGGGGCGGTGCTAAACATTCAAAACGTGCTGAAACAGGTATAGCTCCTTTAAAGTAAACTTCAGTCTCCAGATGTTGTTTGAAACAGAAAATAAATTGCTGTTCTAACTGCATATGCCAATATGAATCAGTGGCTTCACTCTGTTTCTATTTGTTTTTAATCCATTGCAGTCTAAGTATTCTTTGATCAAATCTATCTATCTAAGTATGTCTTGGTCAGCATTTAAAAAAATAAAATAATCTAAATCATATGGGATGTGTTTTCCGCTTGTCTAAAGCCAACCTGTAATTTGAAGATGTACTATTCTATTATAGAATGCATGTGACTGATTTTATTATTGCAAAATTTGCAATTCAAACAAATGTATACTCTATTGTCATGTACCATACTGTATTTAAGATTGATTGTATATTGAATGAGTTAAAGTGTGATGTGCTTCCTCTTCATATTGACAAAATCTGTGTGTTTAAAGTTACTGTTACACTTCAGAAAATGTTCTTGATATTTATATCCAGTAATTTCCTTTATTTCTGCACATGGTAAAGAGACAGGTTGTCTGTCCTTAACACTGTGTACTGGTAAAAATATGACTGCTTATTTTCTTCTCAGATTTGTTTAGTTAAAGCGTAGTGCTTCTGCAGGTACTCCAAAAAGTTGGAATTACTGACCTTTTGCTTGCCTCAGCAGAACCCTATTTATATGTAAGGCAACTATTATAACCGTATATACAAAGTAAGCTGTATCTGAGATGATTTCAACCATTAGGTTGAAGGCACCTACAGTATGTGCCAATAACGAAACACTATCATGTTAATAAGTTGTTTGGAGAAAAAAAATGTTTTATATAGATTTTGC